AGTAACAAAGGACAGGATCTGCAACAAGCATCAAAGGCATTCTTTGGAGTAACTACAGTCCACTTTCCATTTAGAACCATATGTGCGTTTAGAAAAATTCTGGTATTGTCAAATACAGTCAGGTACATAATTATTGGCACCCTTGACAAAGATGAAGAAAAAAGGCTGTATAAAATAAATAATACAAATACTGAGCTATATTGCATTCTCCATAAAAAAAAAAATATATATATATATTATTTTATACTAATATGACTGCTCAGAGAAAGAGATTGTAATAAAATAAATCTAAAAAAGATAGGGTCAAAATGATTGGCAGCCCTGTTTTCAATACTCCAGCACCCTACCCTTGAGAGAATAACGACACTGAGCCTTTTTCTAAAACATTTTATGAGATTGGAGAATCTGACCACAGCACCGCCTGGAGTTTGATAAACGCCATTGGCACTTGAATGGTAACCGGTGCTATGGTCAGATGACAAGAAAATAGAGCTCTTTGGCCACGCACACCAGTGGTGGGTTTGGTGTTGAAAAACAGAAGCATATTCAGAAAAGAATCCCATAACTATTGTAAAATATGGTGGTGGATCTTGGATGTTATGGGGCTATTTTGCTTCCACTGGTCCTGGGGCTCTTGTTAAGGTCAACGGCATCATAAACTTGACCAAGTACCAGGACATTTTAGCCAAAAACCTGGTTGCCTCTGCCAGGAGGCTGACACTTGGCCGCAAGTGGATCTTCCAGCAAGACAATAACCCCAAGCACTAATCAAAATCCACAAAGAAATTGTTAATTGACCAAAAAGTCAACATTTTGCATTGGCCATTCGTCTCTGGACTTGAACCCCATTGAGAACCTGTGGTTTGAATTGAAGAGGGCAGTCCATAAGAGCAGACGGATGTCTGTATGGAGGAATGGTCTAAGAGCCCTCCCAACGTGTTCTCCAATCGCATTATAAAAAATAAAAAAAGGCTCAGTGTCGTTATCCTCTTAAGGGGAGGATGCTAGAGTATTGAAAACAGGGCTGCCAATCATTTGGACCCCTATCGTTTTAAGATTTTTTAAAATTACTTATTAAACTAAATCTGTTTCTCTGAGCAATTGTATTAGTATAAAATAAGAGAATTAACAATGTTTTTAAACATACAATATAGCTCAGTATTTGTATTATTTATTTTATACAGTTTTTGCTCATCTTTATCAAGGGTACCAATAATTATGGACCTGATTGTATTTCTCTCTTTTTTTATATATATAACACATCAAGTGTCATTATTAAAAGATTGTCATCACACTATTACCTTTCAATTATAGTTGCTAGTTTTTGATTTTATACTTATTTTCCATACTTTTATAATGATTTATAAAGTCATTTTTTTCAAACTGCACATTACAGTGCCTTCGGAAAGTATTCAGACCCCTTGACTTTTTCCACATTTTGTTACGTTACAGCCTTATTCTAAAATTGATTCAATATTTATATATGTTTAGCAATCTACACACAATACACCATAATGACAAAGTGAAAACAGTTTTTTTGAGATTTTTGCAAATGTATACAAAATAAAAAACTGAAATACCTGCTTGGCCTCCGACCGCAAGGTACTACAGAGGGTAGTGCGTACCGCCCAGTACATCACTGGGGCCAAGCTTCCTGCCATCCAGGACATCTATACCAGGCGGTGTCAGAGGAAGGCCCTCAAAATTGTCAAAGACTCCAGCCACCCTAGTCATAGACTGTTCTCTCTGCTACCGCACGGCAAGCGGTACCGGAGTGCCAAGTCTAGGTCCAAAAGACTTCTCAACAGCTTCAACCCCCAAGCCATAAGACTCCTGAACAGCTAATCATGGCTACCTGGACTATTTTTACACTGCTGCTACTCTGTTAATTATTTATGCATAGTCATTTTAACTCTACCCACATGTACATATTACCTCAACTAGCCGGTGCCCCCGCACATTGACTCTGCACCAGTACCCCCCTTTATATATAGCCTCCCTACTGTTATTTTATTTTACTTCTGCTCTTTTTTTCTCAACACTTTTTTGTTGTTGTTTTATTTTACTTTTTTATAAAAAAATAAATGCACTCTTGGTTAAGGGCTGTAAGTAAGCATTTCACTGTAATGTCTGCACCTGTTGTATTCGGCGCATGTGGCCAATAACATTTGATTTGATTTGATTTACATAATTATTCAGGCCCTCTGCTATGAGACTCGAAATTGAGTTCAGGTGCATCCTGTTTCCATTGATCATCCTTGAGATGTTTCTACAACTTGATTGGAGTCCACCTGTGGTACATGATTTGGAAAGGCACACACCTGTCTATATAAGGTCCCACAGTTGACAGTGCATGTCAGAGCAAAAACCAAGCCATGAGGTCGGAGGAATTGTTCTGTAGAGCTCCGAGACAGGATTGTGTTGAGGCACAGATCTGGGGAAGGGTACCAAAAAATTTCTGCAGCATTGAAGGTCCCCAAGAACACAGTGGCCTCCATCATTCTTAAATGGAAGAAGTTTGGAACCACCAAGACTCTTCCTAGAGCTGGCCGCCCTGCCAAACTGAGCAATTGGGGGAGAAGGGCCTTGGTCAGGGAGGTGACCAAGAACCCGATGGTCACTCTGACAGAGCTCTAGAGTTCCTCTGGGGAGATGGGAGAACCTTCCAGAAGGACAACCATCTCTGCAGCACTCCACCAATCAGGCCTTTATGGTAGAGCGGCCAGACTGAAGCCACTCCTCAGTAAAAGGCACGACAGCCCGCTTGGAGTTTGCCAAAAGGCACCTAAAGATGCTCAGACCATGAGAAACAAGATTCTCTGGTCTGATGAAACCAAGATTGAACTCTTTGGCCTGAATGCCAAGCGTCACGTCTGGAGGAACCCTGGCACCATCCCTACGGTGAAGCATGGTGGTGGCAGCATCATGTTGTGGAGATGTTTTTCAGCGGCAGGGACTGGGAGACTAGTCAGGATTGAGGCAATGATGAACGGAGCAAAGTACAGAGAGATCTTTGATGAAAACCTGCTCCAGAGTGCTAAGCACACAGCCAAGACAACGCAGGAGTGGCTTCGGGACAAGTCTCTGAATGTCCTTGAGTTGCCCAGCCAGAGCTCGGACTTGAATCCGATCTAACATCTCTGGAGAGACCTGAAAATATCTGTGCAGCAACGCTCCCCATCCAACCTGACAGAGCTTGAGAGGATCTGCAGAGAAGAATGGAAGAAACTTCCCAAATACAGATGTGCCCAGCTTGTAGCGTCATACCCAAGAAGACTCAATGCTATAATCGCTGCCAAAGGTGCTTCAACAAAGTACTGAGTAAACAGTCTGAATACTTATGTAAATGTAATATTTCAGTTTTTAAAGAACAATTATTAGCAAAAATGTCTAAAAACCTGTTTTTGTTTTGTCATTACGGGGTATTGTGTGTCGATTGATGAGAGAAAAAACAAATATTTAATCAATTGTAGAATAAGGTTTAACGTAACAAAATGTGGAAAATGTCAAGGGGTCTAAATACTTTCCGAAGGCACTGTATATGGTTCTTTGTCTGTATGATTCAGTAGTGAGGTTATTTACGTGCCATTCCATTCCACATTCCATTTTTCTGGTCTGGTGTGTTTTTCCTTCCCTAAAGTATTTGGCAGGAATAACACAAAAGTGCAGTTTACTCCCATAAAAGGGATATGTATCATACCATTCACACCCTCCTAAAATCCAACCCACATGTTTATTGTTCATGTAGCCCACCCAGGCTTCTGGTGTCTTACTACAGCCTCATGATGCATTTTGTTATTCCTTTTAGGGTCACCATGCAAATCTTTAATGTGATGGTAAGTATCTTCTTTCATAAGAGGTGATTAATTATATTTTTAATGTTTCAAAGTAATTTTCTGTATTCAAAGACTAGTTGAAATGTTACACCTTTTTCACAACTCTGTTCTTGTTTTACTATGCACCTGGATGTCAATGTGTCAACATCAATGTAAACTGTTAACCAACACTTAGTCTAGCAGACAGGTGCAGAATCCAAACACAGTGGGAGTATTACTATTGCTCATCCCGTGTAAACAATAAGCCATGCATCATTTAATCATAATTTACAATGGGTGTTGACCGTCACATGATAGTGCAATAGCGTGCATGCCATACATTCTTAAGTAAGGTTAGGCTGAGGTGGTAAACCACACATTGCATGTTCATCCTGTTGTTAATCTGCTGGAGACACATCAAACCTCACTTTATTTTTTATATAGTAGAAGATCTGGATGAGCTATAGGGACATTTGTAGTTCAATAACACAAACTGATTACAAGGATTTCCAGGCATTGGGTAAGATCGTCAATCTAATTTCGATTCTTAATTATACTTTCTCTCCTGTACCAGCTCACACTGAGGCTGACTGGAACTTGAGACCTCTGTCTTGAAAACACACGCAACCACCCTCTTGACAACTTCTCTGGGGCGCGGGTGGAGACATTTCAGGCTGAGGAGTGAGGTTACAAATCCTCATTTGTTACACCTGCTCATTTGAATTCTCTGTTGCTGGCAACAATATGAAACAGACTGTGAGTAAAACAATCTACTGGAGTTGCAGAGTAAAATGTATGAAATTTCAGAGTAAAGTAGTAGCCTCTCCTTTTATCACATTATGATCACGTTTGTTTGACACTTTGATATTGGCAAAAGAGCTGATCTGATTGGTCAAAATACCAATTTGTGGAAATATAATTGGGCTGCCTGTATTAATGCAGCTTATAGCAATGGCACTGTTTTACTGAACAACAAGTTATTTATGGACACACTTTATGAGAGCATAATAAAATGGTGATTTCCTACTTTAAGTGTTCTCTCACACATTATGAAATCATTTAATATTAAAACTCCCAGAAATAAGTAAAGTATACAGTGGACAGACATGAATGTGTCTGATAAGTGATGATTAATTTCCACAAAGTAATGCTTATCCCTGCACCTGTAGTTTCTGGGGAACACCATCAAATGAGATGTGCCCCAAAAAATGTCCTGTCTTCTTGAAGGAGCATCAGCTCATGGTACCTGTCCCCCAACCTCACTCTGAGCCTGTCCCCAGCTTTTAGTGCAAACACGCCGGACGTGCAGGGAGACTTTTCCCAGTACTGAGTCCCTGAGCCCTCTGAACCAGGCGGCTGACAGTCATTTGATTTGGGAATGCAGTCCACTGTGTCAGATGCTGTTAGGAGGTCTCTATTTTTCTGGTAGCTCTTTGCAAACAGGATTACCTTCTGGGTGAGGATGAACACTGAGTCCTCCTCGCTACACACAAAGTGACCAGGCCTTCGGAAGGTGATCTGCAGGTAAACCTTGTACATGCCATCTTTGAGCACGATGAGGTCGCCGTCCTGATACTTAAATCCAATAAGGTGAGCAAGTCCAAGGTTGTACTCCCATTCAAGGTATACCCTTTTTGAATGATTAAATGAGTCTGGAGCTGGAGGAGAGACAAGAGAGGACATTACTTTTTAGCTTAGTCTTATTAATGGGTCTTTCAAGGAATAATGTCATGAATAGTGTGTATCATAATTGTACCTGTCAGATGGGCACTTGGATTGTTTCCAATTTGCTGCTGTTTCTGCTGAACACTGCCTATGGAGGGATAAAATAGACAGTGAGGATGATGATGATCATGATGATTATGATGAAGATTATAATAATATCATAACCATAGTCATAATGCTAATTTACCCATAGAATCACCTCCAGCTGAAGTGTGCTACAAATAAAAACAAGATCCATTAAGATTTACTGAGCATATTTAACTTTTTTGATCTAAATACAGTCCCCAAGTATTACCACAGCCCTCCACAATTAGAATGACAAGCGTGTTCTGATGTTGGCTCTCTAATAATTACGCATTTACTGTAGGCTACTGTACCAGTTTCGTTTCTTACCACACACACAACACTATCCATAAACAAATCTGAATCGGGATTATTTGCAGGTAACAGGTTCATTTAATCGAAGGACACTTGAGCGCTGTTGAATGAGAAGCTCACCTGGTAGTCCGCTGCTTTATGATGATATGCGTTTAGCAAGAGTACAGCGCAAGACAGAAGCAGAGAGACAAGAGCAGCGAACCGAGTGAGGCACATTGGCCGCCCTTTGTCTCTGCGGCTCACTCGGGCATAAAGACTCCTGTCACTCTCCGCATGATGACACCCAGGGATCTCAAAGCAAACTGCTTCAGCGCCAGCAGCTGTCATGATCAGCAGGGAGGGAGTACTCAATGGGATCTTGCCATTCAAGTCCGACTTTTATCAATGTTGTAGCCCACGTTGCACCCAGGGGCGTTTCTAGGATTTGAAGACATTCGGAGTTTAGCCCAAAGCCAGTAGGGTGGTCTGGGGGCATCACCCCCCGGCAAAAAAATAATTTAGAATTTTAGAATTTGGTGCCCTTTGATATTAACATCGAGAGATAAGATATTTTTCAGGTAACTGGCACCTCCCCACCTGCCACAGCAGACAGCTCCAGTTCTCAATTACAGTAGATACTGTGGGTCTCTACTCTGGAACATTCTCTACTCTGGAATACATACATCTACAGTCAGTGGTGGAAAAAGTACCTAATTTCCCACCGTAAAGCATGGAGGAGGAGGTGTTATGGTGTGGGGGTGCTTTGCTGGTGACACTATCTGTGATTTATTTAGAATTCAAGGCACACTTAACCAGCATGGCTACCACAGCATTCTGCAGCGATACACCATCCCATCTGTTTTGGGCTTAGTGGGACTATCATTTGTTTTTCAACAGGACAATGACCCAACACACCTCCAGGCTTTGTAAGGGCTATTTTACCAAGAAGGAGAGTGATGATGGAGTGCTGCATCAGATGACCTGGCCTCCACAACCCCCCGACCTCAACCCAATTGAGATGGTTTAGGATGTGTCGGACCGCAGAGTGAAGGAAAAGTAGCCAAAAGTGCACAGAATATGTGGGAATTCCTTCAAGACTGTTGGAAAAGTATTCCAGGCGAAGCTGGTTGAGAGAATGCCAAGAGTGTGCAAAGCTGTCATCAAGGCAAAGGGTGGCTATTTGAATAATCTCAATATATAATATATTTTATGGTTCCATATGTGTTATTTAATAGTTTTGACGTCTTCACTATTATTCTACAATGTCAAAAAATAGTACAAATAAAGAAAAACCCTTGAATGTGTAGGTGTGTCCAAACATTTGACTGGTACTGTACATTAAGTACACATTGCAATAAAATGCTTACCAGAGCGGCAGGTAGCCTAGTGGTTAAGAGCATTAGACCAGTAACCGAAAGGTAGTTAACCCCCAACAACAACTGCTCCCAGGGTGCTGATGATGTCGATTAAGGCAGCCCCCCTAACACCTCTATGATTCAGAGGGGATGCGTTAAGTGCGGAAGACACATTTCGGTGCATTCAGTTGTGCAACTGACTAGATATCCCCTTTCCCTAACTTGCAGGTTAACCTCTCGACAATGCCACAACAATAGAAAAAGTACAAAGATGATCAAAAGTATGTGGACACCTGCTCGTCGAACATCTCATTCCAAAATCATAGGCATTAATATGGAGTTGGTCCACCCCCCCCTTTGCTGCTATAACAGCCTCTACTCTTCTGGGAAGGCTTTCCACTAGATGTTGGCACAATACTGTGAGGACTTGCTTCCATTCAGCCACAAGAGCATTAGTGAGGTTGGGCGATTAGGCCTGGCTCACAGTCGACGTTCCAATTCATCCCAAAGGTGTATGATGGGGTTGAGGTCAGGGCTCTGTGCAGGCAAAGTCAAGTTCTATCACACCGATCTCGACAAACCATTTCTGTATGGACCTCGCATTGTGCATGGGGGCATTGTCATGCTGAAACAGGAAAAAGGGCCTTCCCCAAACTGTTGCCACAAAGTTGGAAGCACAGAATAATCTAGAATGTCATTGTATACTGTAGCGTTAAGATTTCCCTTCACTGGAACTAAAGGGCCTAGCCCAAACCATGAAAAACAGCCCCAGACCATTATTCCTCCTCCTCCGAACTTTACAGTTGGCACTAGGCATTCGGGCAGGTAGCGTTCTCCTGGCATCAGCCAAACCCAGATTTGTCCGTCGGACTGCCAGATGGTGAAGCGTGATTAATCACTCCAGGGAACGTATTCCCAGTGCTCCAGAGTCCAATGGTGGCAAGCTTGACACCACTCCAGCTGACGCTTGGCATTGCACATGGTGATCTTAGGCTTGTGTGCGGCTGCTCAGCCATGGAAACCCATTTCATGAAGCTCCCGACGAACAGTTCTTGTGCTGAAATTGCTTCCAGGAACGGGTGTGGCTGAAATAGCCATATCCACTCATTTGAAGGGGAGTCCACATACTTTTGTTGGGGTAAGGAGGGGGTGTTGTTGGATTAATTAAGATAGACTTTGAAGAGGTAGGGTTTCAGGTGTTTTCTGAAGATGTGCAGGGACTCTGCTGTTCTAGCTTCAGGGGGAAGCTGGTTCACCATTGGGGTACCAGGACAGAGAAGAGCTTGGCCTGGGCTGAGTGGGAGCTGCCCTCCCATAGGGGTAGGAGGGCCAAGAGACCAGAGGTGGCATAACGGAGTGTTCGGGTTGGGGTGTAGGGTTTGAGCATAGCCTGAAGGTAGGGAGGGGCAGTTCCTCTTGCTGCTCCGTAGGCAAGTACCATGGTCTTGTAGTGGCTGCGAGCTTCGACTGGAAGCCAGTTGAGAGTGCAGAGGAGTGGGGTGACATGGGAGAACTTGGGAAGGTTGAACACCAAGCGGGCTGCAGCGTTCTGTGTGAGGTAGGGTCGTACTCTACGGATGTTGTAGAGCATGAACCTGCAGGAATGAGTCACTGCTTTGATGTTTGCAGAGAATGACAGGTTGTTGTCCAGGGTCACGCCAAGGTTCTTTGCACTCTGGAAGGGAGACACTGTGGAGTTGTCAACCATGACAGAGAGGTCTTGGAGCAGACAGGCCTTCCCCGCGAGGAAGAGCAGCTTTGTCTTGTTAAGGTTGAGCTTGATGTGGTGGGTCGACATCCAAGCTGAGATATCTGCCAGGCACGCAGAGATGCGTGTCACCACCTGGGGGGGTGGGGGAGAAAAGTAGTTGAGTCTCATCCACACAGCAATGATAGGAGAGACCATGTGAGGATATGACAGAGCTGAGTGACTTGGTGTATAGAGAGAAGAGGGCCTAGAACCGAGCCCTGGGGGACACCAGTAGTGAGAGTATGTGGTGCAGACACAGACCCTCTTCACGTCACCTGGAAGGAGCGGCCTGCCAGGTAGGATGCAATCCAAGAGTGTGCAGAGCCTGAGACGCCCAGCCCAAAGAAGGTGGAGAGGAGTATCTGATGGTTCACGTGCCGAAGGCAGCCGATAGATCTAGGAAAATAAGAACAGAGAAGAGAGTGTCAGCTTTGGCAGGGCGGAGAGCCTCCGTGACACAGAAAAGAGCAGTCTTGGTTGAGCAACCCATCTTGAAGACTGACTGGTTAGGATCAAGAAGAGGGTTCTGAGAGAGATAGCTAAAAAGTTTGTCAGAGACACACACTCAAGTAAGAAAATAAAGAAGGGATACCGGTCTGTAGTTTTTGACGTCAGAGGAGTCGAGTGTTGGTTTCTTGAGGAGGGGAGCGACTCGGGCTATTTTGAAAGTCAGAGTGGACGCAGCCAGTGTTCAGGTCTGAGTTGGTGAGGGAGTGAGGAATGGGAGAAGGCGACTCCCCAGACCAGAGGAGGGGATGGGGTCGAGCGGGCAGGATGTCGGGTGGCCGGACCGCACTAGTCGCAGGATTTCATCTGGAGAGAGAGGGGAGAAAGAGGTCAAGGCGTAGGGTAGTTCTGTGTGAGTGGGAACAGTGGACTCAATACACTGAGTGAGTGAGGAGCGGATGTTGTCAACATTCTTTTCAAAGTGGCTGACAAAGTCATCCACAGAGAGGGAGAAAGGAGGGGGAGGGGGTGGAGGAGAAGGAGGAAAATAGTTTCCTAGGGTTAGAGGCAGAAGCTTGACATTTAGAGTGAGAGAAAGTGGCTTTAGCAGCAGATACAGAGGAAGAGAAGGTTGAGAGGAGGGAGTGAAAGGATGATAGGTTTTTTTTCCTCCATTTTCACTCAGCTGCCCGCAGCCCTGTTCTGTAAGCTCACAATAAGTCACTCAGCCACAGAGCAAGAAGGGAGGGCCGAGCTGGCCGGGAGGAAAGGGGACAGTGCGGAAAGAGCGGAGAGTAGGGTCGAAGAGGCAGAATCAGGAGACAGGAGGGAGAAGGATTTAGCAGAAGGGAGAGATGATAGGATAGAAGAGGAGAGAGTAGTGGGAGAGAGAGAGAAAGTGAGAATTGCGACGGCGCATGACCATCTGGGTAGGGGGTGAGTGGCTAGGGTTGGAGGAAAGGGAGACAGAAAAGCAAACAAAGTACTGATCAGAGACCTGGAGGGGGTTGCAGTAAGATTTGTAGGCGGTCAGCCTCTAGTAAAGATGAAGTCAAGTGTATTGCCTGCCTTGTTAGTGGGAGGGGACTGGGAAAGGGTGAGGTCAAAAGAGGCAAGGAGGGGAAAGAGAGTGTTGGAAATAAATTAATTGAAGGCAGACGTTGGGAGGTTGAAGTCGCCAAGTACGAATAGCAGTGGGCCATCGTCAGCAAATTTGCTTATCAAGGTGTCAAGCTCATTGAGGAACTCTCTAAGGGCACCTGGTGGGAGATAGAGGACTACAATGTTAAGCTTGAGTGGACCACTGATAGTGACAGCATGTAATTCACATGAGGAGATGGACAGGTGAGTGAGGGAGAAAAGAGAAATTCTACACTTAGGAGAAATGAGTAGCCCTGTTCCACCACCGCAACGAACAGATGCTCTCGGACTATGAGAGAACACATACAGTAGTCAGATGAACTGAGAGAAGCTTGAGTAGCCCTGTTCTCAGGCTACCCAGACTATTTGCATTTGCACCTGACGCCTGAGGGGAATTCCAAGATGCTCGGAGGGGGGAACTAGTGATGTGCAGTTCGCAAATTATTCGTTTTTCTGAGTGACTCATTCATTTTAGTCGTTTGCTGGCCGCAATGAATTCTACAGCAGTATTAGGGTGATTCTACATCTACGGGCACTTCTATGTCCTCTGGGTCAATTTTTTTGATTTGATTTAAAAACATGTTTTTATTCTTTATATGTTAAATTCACACTACAATCACCCCAGATTTTTTAAACACCTCTCTATCAAGTATTTTAGTTACTTTTCAGATGCATTTTGTACCTCAATTC